GAGGCTTTGAAGATCGTGGCATAACACAAGAGACGCTATTCTTATTCAATGACATGTAAATGAGTGGTCGGGTATTCTGCAGTTTAGCCAAACCTGAACTTAACTTCATTGGACGCAAACTAAACCTGAACTAGCGGAAAATAATCAACTTAGCCCAAAACATGCAAAATGCAGTATAAAACCTGGCATATTAAACAAAGGGAGCACACAATATAAGACTAATTAACATAAACTACAAGAAAGCTAAACTAACGGAAATATAAATATTCCGGTCAAGTACTGAGGACGCAATATTGCATGCGTGAGATCGAGGCACTTCTGCGGGGAACAAACAAATGAGATAGGAGGGAGGACTAAGGAGAAATAAAAAGAAACATTTCTCCATGCTGAACCCTTTCCTCTTCATTAGTTAGTTAGTTTCGCTGTTACTTAGTCTCACTATGAGGTTCTTAGTCAAATTTTTTTAACTCGCACCAAGCCTTTGTCGATCTTACCAATCGATCCAATATGGCGACTTCTACTTTCAGTCTAAGCTCGTCCTCAGTCCTCAGCTTTAAACTTTAGTCACGTAAGCGGACTTCAGAACCACAAAATTAGGCGATTGAAACGAGAAGACTTGATACAAGAAGCCATGGTTTACTGAAGGATCAAGATTCTCTGGTTTTGAAAGTGGTTATCTCACGTGAGAAAAAAGTCCCAAACACAAATGTTTAAAACACGAAAATCCTATATCTTCATTCTGTTTTTATTGATACACTCTTTTTCTAGATTAAGGTTATCTTAAGTAACAGCAAAGCGGACCTGTACATGGTCTCTTAGCACTAGGGTTCGTAACTGTACATGTGTACTCTCATGCATCCAAGTTAGACCCAATTCTCCTTCGCAGACGTACTTTGAATGTCTTTCTTTGGGTTGAGCGTTGCGTGACGTCCCTAACAACGCCTGCGATGCGAAGTTTATTTATGTCTTAAGATGAAAGACTAAACATCTTGAAAATTCCGTTTTAATATTTCAATTACAGACATAGTCAAATGAATCACGAAGTAACTTAGGCAGTGTTTTCTATTTACTTTAACTTAATCAACTTTCTTACGTGTTTATCACAAGGAGTTCTGTAAACGTTAGCTCACTTCAATTATCGACTGGTCGAGTTCAATAAACGCATCTGTCATCTCAACTGGTAGATGATAAGGGTACAGTTACCCCAACTGTGATTGCTGTAGGTTTCTCATGTAATCCTTTCCTCCAACTGAGTCGTTCCATAAGTTTTGTTAGCACCTAAGAAAGTGAATTAGAGCACTGCATGGATCTGCTCTCCATTAATTGATCTTTTTTTCGCTGCATGTAAACCCTTGACAGTAAGAGAGTGAGGAGCAGTGCACGAGAGCTGATAAATAAAACGAATGATTGAGGGAAAGAGATTGGATGATGTGGGGGGTGGGGGAGAGGGTTGGCTGACCCTTTACAGTAAGAAAGTGAGGAGCAGTGCACGAGAGCTGATAAATAAAACGAATGGCTAAGGGAAAGTGATTGGATGATGTGGGGGTGAGGAGGAGGTTGGCTGACCAGACTCCCCTTCAACAATTATTTAGCTGCTTTAGTACTCACTCGCACGTGACAAACAGATTTAACGTGAAGAAATTGGCTTTGGATATTACTGAAGGAAAAAGGTCCAGTCTAAGGAGACGACAACTAGCAACATCAATTCCAACAAAAGAACATCTTGCTGACAAGAAACTCAGTTTATTTCTTAAATAAATTTGCAAGTTAAATAATTCCAGAATCAATTATTCCCCAAATGTTCATTTATTTTTGCACGTTCCCAAAATCTCGTCCCCAGACCCTTTTCTCTTTCATGACGTCAGCAGGTGTCGTCATCTTTCCTCTGGATTTTTCGAAGAGCTTCTTTCAAGTCTTCCCCAAGGGACATGTCTCGCTTGGTTCTCCTGTGGACCAATAGATCATCCATTCTTCTTTGTTTTCTTGGCAGTTCACGAACGAGAGTTTTCAGCGTTTTACGGCGGTATGCGTCCCAATTTACTTTGTCTTGTAGGCTCTTTTGCAGTGATTCATCGTTAGGATAAGGTGTTTCCTACAAACAGGAAACAGGGAAGAGTCGTTTTTCTGGCCAGTTTCTGTCTATTAGGGGGGAGGGGAACTTTCCTGAAGCAGTAGACCGCCCATTCTTTTTATACACTACTTCGATAAGCCTCTTGGAACTTTGGAGGAAAAGTTTTTGGAAATCAGGGGCCGAACTCAAAAGTTTTACAAAGTGCAGTCCGTTGTTTCAATTAAACGCTATAGGTTTACCAGCGCGATAAGCAATACATTTTAACCAATTAGAGTGCGCATGGTATCTCTGTTACCCGACATGCAGTGTCATTTATGACTAGAAAAGTATCACCAAATTACCCTGAACGGCTATGTTAGGTGACTTTTCATTTGTGGCAAATTCGAGGATGCCCAGACACACCTTTTCCTCTTGTTATTTTTTTACCTTGGACACTCGTGATTTCTCAGAGTTGCTTCCCTTACCGTAACAAGAAGTCTTCTTTTCATCGCGTCAGTGCAATGAGCGAGGTAAAATTTCTTAGAGATCATAATGCATTCTGCACCATTGCTGACCTGTGAAAGAAATAAACAGGAATCAGATAATCATGGAAAAGTTTCTCTCGGTAGCAACTCTTTCGGACCTTTTCTTTGAGGCTTGATTCCTGTGACTCGATGCAATTATCAAAAAGCAAGTGAGCAGGATATATTGTTTCTTTTTTCCTCAGTCTCCTTTTGTTCCCTACGGATGAAGTTATTCATAGAACGAAAACGCCCATTGTTTGCGGCTATCTTTACTGCGCACGCTCATTATTCAGCACGCATGAGTGTCGTGCATCAACTGTGTCAATCTCTTGACCAGACGTAAATATACTTTTCTTTATTTCATAATCAAGCTTAAATCAACATTCCTTTCATTTCATTTACTCAAACGAGGTTTTAGACATTGCTACAATGAGTGGTGTAAGTCTGATAACCAAGCAACATTGTTTTGGGAAAGAGATGGGACTTGAAAGACACTTATTATACATGAATTAGTAGATTTCTGTTTATAACGTTGAGTGTAGGGTTGTCGACCACCTACTCTAAGGGAAGGTGTGCCAACTTCATTCGCCACTCATTGTAGTCCATGCACTATGCAGAACGAGTGTCATTAATAACCTAGTCAAGGCCTACAAGTTGCTCATCAAAGAGACTCTTTGGCTCTATGGTAGAGCCGCGGAGCGTGGAGTCCGAAAAGTCAGAGATTCAATTCCTTACGAGGACTCAGAATTGCATCTTTGTCCCCAGATAGTGACAAGACGGTAAAACATCTTTCTTTAAACGCATAAACTGTTTGTTTATAGATCGAAGTGTATGAACGAAGTGTATAAAAACATTTTAACCGACTGACCAGACTAAGACTGGGCTGCTCGTCAAACACCATTGAAGACACACCCTGAAGAGAAAAAAACAAAAAAAGACCAGCGAGGAAATATTGCCATCATGCATTTTTGTGTTATTACTGAGGATTGCAACAAGATGAAGAAACTTAAATGGTTGTACTCAAAACGGCTTGCTTACCTACTCATTAAAGAAAGCAGAAATTGCTAAACGGCCTATTTACTCGACTTGCACTTGAGTTCAGTTAAGCAGTAGAACCCGCAATGGAAGGAAATTTCCTATGATTCCCAGAAAAACGTCGGTAAAGATCACTGTTACGACATGTGTATGTTATTCAACCTATAGTTCAAGAAACTGAACGAGAGGACTAGGAAAAGAAAAATGTAATTTCCTTACAAAACAATCTCCCTTTGAAAGAAGAGCAACTTGGACAAACATTGGATGCAGATCTGCCTCTGTGATACGAACCTCAGTCTGAAAAAGAGGAAATGAGAACAAGGTCTAGTCACTGCCAAATGATGTATTTTAAGAGAATTGCTTTTTCATTGTCATAAGTTTTATCGAGAAGTCTCTTTTTACGTTTCTGAAAATCCCAATGGATGATCTAACTACCTAATTTATACCATAAACTAACCGGCCTTTGTTCCCCCTCGTCAATAACAGAAATTTTGTGCAATGGAAGTTTCTTTTCCTCTTCAGACAGCTCTTCTGAAATACGAGAAAATGCTCGTTATATTAAGGAGATAATAATAAAACGCCCGACACACTGGTTTCCAATAACTCTGATCAGTTTTGATTTCGACAAATAATGAGCTTTCGCAAGTGTCATAGCCTAAACTATCATTCAAGTTATTAAGTCTTTTTGGATTCACGTTCTGTTTTGTTTTTCTTTTAATTTTTGTTCCTTTTGTTTCTTAGAATGTACAATTAAATTCTGACCGAGTCGAAGATATTCAGTCAGTCTCCCTCTGACTGGTGTCTCTGTGACTCTGCGTTGGACAAGAACTATTGTATGCTCTGTCGTCTCTAAAAAACTGATGTGAAGTATTTACCTCGAATCATGTTTTAGTATTTTCTTTTCATATTCAAACTACTATTTTATGATTTCTCTCACATGGAAGGAAATTTCATTGGTCGAAGAAAAGAGGGTCAGTCAAAGACTTGAGATACTTTTCAGCTGATTCTTACCAGAGGGAGGAATCACAGTAGACTTTCTCACTCTGCTCGTACGCCTCGAGGGGCTGGAGAGAGTCCTAGGTCGTGTGTTAGAGTCGGCCCTAGGTCTCTGCTCGTAATCACCCGCATCAACTTGCAAACTGATTCTTTGACGAGGAGGGGTCGATGGCGCCTAACAAAAAAGAAAACATATGATTTGTTCATGGCTTTGCTGTACTAAGAAAAACGCACCATGAATGTTGTAAAAATTAAGCTTACATTTTAAAAATTCGCGAAAATATTTTTCTCGCGTTTTATTGGTTTGGCATTCACTCGTGACATCAGAAATCTAACTTATCTCGTTATAATCTAAATTTTAGAACAATGCCCGGGTGATATCAAAGGAATGCTTCCTATAGTTCTTATGTTTTCAAGAGACTTGGCCGAAACTCTTACAAATCAGTCAAATTACATTCTAATCTAAAATAGTGTGTACCGAAGCCGTATCAAGGTTTTTTACCGAGGATGAAGAAGAGTTTTCTTCTTCCACTGTTGGTAAAGGAAGCATGTTGCTGCTTTTTTCTCTGTAATCAGGAGTCATGCGTTTCTGCAGTCGTCTAGGTAATACCATGGTAGTATTTGACAGTTTCCTCAATTGTACGTCATCTACAAGGTTTGTTTCAGTTGAAGTTCTCTGAATTACTCTAGGTTCACTTGACAGTCTTCTTTTCCATTCAATAACATTTTTTAGATTTTTTGATTGTTCATCGGTTGATTTAACGAGGGACGTCTTTGGAGCACTAACAACTCCTTTTCTTCTAGAGATCGGAGGCGATGCTACTTGAAAACCCACGGACTTGATCGATTTCTCGTCGGGAGGTTTTCGATAGCTGTTATCGTTATTGCCTGTTGCAAATGAATTCTGAGCCGCGGCTACTTTATCAATTGCAAATACATCAGCGGTTTTTTCCTCGTTTCCTGAGTCATCATCGTTGTCACTTTCGTGTGTTATGATACCAGACCTGAGACGCATCTTGGGTAACAAAAGCGTAACTACGGACAGCTTTGCTTTGACACGTTCTAACTTGTCACGTGATGAGGCCTTAGTAACCTGGCTCTTCACTGTGAGCGGAAAAAGACGGCTATGTTCAAAGATTTTTCATGTCATTATTTATATCCAGGTAGTTTCTTAAAGAGGCAGAAGAAAGGATTACGAAATGACATATGAGAAATGAGAAATGTTGACATATCACCGTTTTCAAATCCAACAACCCTGTCGTTGTGCTGAGTAAGACAGGACTTGACTTCTCTTAGTTTTTTCAATACCTGACAGCTTCCCTGCATATAGGAAGGAGAATATACACGATATAGTTTTGTGATGTTGCAAATCATCGAATCAAATTCGAAATTTCAGCAACCAAGAACCTACTACAATTACCGATTTTATAATGTATATCCAGTCCGAATGATTGCTGTCTCTAACAAGAACAGAGCCACTCCTGGAGGAAGAGAGCGAATTATAACGTGAGGTGAGATAACAGAAGACGTAACACAAGAGAAATTCTTGACTGAGAGTAGAAAGGAATACGGTTTAGCACTGATTTCACGTCACTGTTGGATCTGTCAACATATAAGCATATTCCTCACCTAAAAAAGTGGAAAAGGCATTTTTTTGGGTTTGAAGCCATAAGCTCTACTGGCCACCCCCTCAAGAAGTCTACGCTCCTAAAGCAAGAAAGAATACATTAAAAAGTGTTCAATTTTTCTTTGTTATTTGTACATGAATATTATAATAGTCATTTATAGCAATTTAGGTACATGTTGCTGACATAGTTTTTTTGTGGACTGAAATACTTAGAGTCTTTTAGAATTTCCAGCCTCTGTTGAAAAAAATGACTTGTATACTGATCGGAAAATATTTGTCAGTCAGGCTATGATTGTTTTTATGAAGTAAACATGGAATAGCTGTGGGTGAGAGGTCGTCTGGAATTTAGTACGCGCAACACTAGAGACCAAAATTTCTATGTATTTTCACATTCAATCATGCCAGGACTTGAATCAGTTGGTAGCAGAACTCAAAATAATCACAAACGAATTAAGGTAAACAAGATCGGATATTTTGATGCCGTAAAGCCGTCGGAACAGGTGTCATTCATTTTGCGATTTTCAGGCGAAAGTAAGGTAGTTCGAGGCAAGCACGAGGAGAGCGCGAGGCGAACGCGAGAAAAACACGAGGAACACGTAAGGGGAGTACGAAAGAGAATTCCGCGCCTCTTCTCACAAGTGATTCACGTTCCGCGTTTGCCACGCACTTAACTCTACTCGACTGGAAAACGCGAAGAAATGACCGTGTTCAGCAGGGCTGATACTGTTTCCTATCCTTACTTGATAAACTTTTGATGATCAGGGTCGTTTATGTTCTTAATTCCACCCGCTAACATGAAGATGTCCACAAAATCCTACATAAGAAGCAAAAAGAAATATAAACGCGTTCGTCGGTAAACCATGTGTTTATCCCCTTTATCACATCCATGTGGTACCTTAAAATAAGGAACTACATACCAAAAAGCCCTAATTTATTCCGGTTTCCTTTAAATCTATAATGCACATTTTTGAAGGCAAAACGTCAGAAGTCCTAATAAATGTTTCAAATTGTATCTCACATATCGTATGTTTGCTGTGCGCACCTCTTTAGAAATCACCAACAGTTCAATAGGTTCCCGCGAAATTACGGTGGACTGGCGCCGAGTGTCGTGTAGAATAGCCAACTCCTGTGGTTGGGAAAAAAAAGTGCACCTAAATATTAGCCTACAGTTCAATTATCGCAAAAACTGAGAAAATATGGACATCCAAACAAATTGTTGATTTCTCTCTTGGGGCACGTTCCACGGAGAGACATGGAGAGAGGCTCTGCGAAGTCTTCACCCCGAAGGTTGTTTGATAATGAAAGCTAAGTACTTACCCCAAAACTATCACCACGTCTGAGGAAATGAACAGTTCTTGCGAAGCTCTCATTTTCTCCCAGTACCGTAACCACAGCTGAAAAGTAAAATTTCATGCTTTTCGTCTGTTCCCATTCATTGTTTAAGCGATCTTATTAACATCGTGTAGCTTTAACGACATGTTATTTAGATGGTGTAGTCAACATGGGGTGTCCGTGAAACGCAGACTCAGGGTTGGGGTAGATAACTCTCTCTCCGTTTTTTTCTTTTTTTTTCTTTCTTTTCCCGACCTCGAGTCCTCGTTTCAAGATAGACGTCTTGCACTTCATCTCATAACAGTGAAGAGTTTCCCCGAATGTTGAACTTCACATCAGTGTAAACTGACCTGAACCAGAGAGAACAAAGTAGAAGGCTTGTGGTATGTGACCCTGTCTTAGAATTGCTCTCTTTGTCTGGTGCCTGAAAATGAATCAAATGCAATCGAAATCTTTGATTGGAAAAATGATTTGCTTGCTATATAAATTAACAGACACATACGTTTCAAACCAACCAACTTTGACGAGCTTTTGCTGAATTCTCTGAGGATATTCTGCAAACGATCGAATTGATCGCAGGGAGAAGAGAACCTGAGAGACAAAATGAAAAAAAACTATTTTAAAAGTTAAGCTTTTTCGTCAACAACCGATAGCTAGAAAGGGCACAAGCTTTGCTTAAAGAACGCCATCAGTATTTTCTTTAGAGGTCGTTTAAAATCATGATGATTCTGATTCGGTTTGTGTCAGTAGTATTGGAGTGAAAAGACTGCTGTAGTTTAACGTGACTTGTTTTGACGAGACACCGTCACAATACTGTTCGACGCAAAGTGCAAAAGAAATACCTTTGCTAGTTGCTGTTCTGTTCTCTGTTCTGGTTGAATTGATAAAATTAACTTCACCTCAGCGGCAACCCGCATCTGGGAAAGGAAAAAGGACATCAATGAAATAACCTACTTCTTCTCTTCTTTCCAAAATTGCATGTTTTTGACACTTCACAGACGATAAAGATTAGAGACTGGGCAACAGACAGAGAACGAATACTGAAGAGGTAGGAACATGGAACTCGGATAAGGTCAGTTTACCTTTCTGTTAGCTTTGAAAAATGAAGCATCAAAAGCAAGTTCCGCTTCCATTTGGTTTTCTTGTTCATTGATGTACTGTGTGAAAACAGTGTGAGTCATCTGGGTCTCTTCTTCATTATCCCTTAAAATTAAAACAGACATAACGGAAAAAATACCTCAGGAAAGGAAGCTCCTTGTTATTTTTAATGAATATTGAATGAGCTGAAACTTAATTCCAAAACTCTTACTGATAACCCTTTCTCTCGTGCGAAAGACCATTCTAAAACTT